CTTCTGACCACCTTACTTATATATTCTAACTTTTAGATTTGTGCCATATGTTTTGTCAAACAGATTATAATTTTACAATTCATAGTGGGACTCAATTCATATGTTTAATACACATTTGTGCCATATGTTTTGTCAAACAAATTATGTTATAAATCTAGAAAAATATATTTAGATTAACATCAAACATGAGAATTTCCCTTTCAATTTTAAAAATATGTTTTTCCTATGTTTCACAACATTTTTATTCTAAATGTGGTAACAATATTTTTGTTTATTTAAAGGCTGATCTTATCTTAAATATTAATTGAGAGGATCACAGGGGAGAAAAAAATACATCATCTTTCGAAGAAAAAAAATGACACGATTATGAAACCCAATTCAAATCCTGCAATCCAATCTAACCAAAATAACTATCTCATTTTACAACTAAAATCAACCTTTCCAAAAAATAATTGGGTCATTTTTTTTTTTGTCGACAAAATAACTTATTATTAAACATTAAGGGTTCAAGTGACTACATAAGGAGATTTATTCATCCTAGCATTTTTAGCTAAAAGATCAGCATCAGAATTTAAAGTTCTAGAAACATGGAGGAAATTATAATCTGAAGACTCTTTTGCAAGGGCGATGATATCTTTCAGATATGTAGAATAATGCTGATGTTCCCATCCCATTTAACTTTGAACTCTATTGATGGCTTGAAGGGTTTTGTATAATGCAGCCGAGTCACCACAAAATGTAACACGTCGGTAACCTAGCGCTTTAACCTTCTATATGGCCATACTTAGAGCTTCAGCTTATGCTTCAATGGCTGAGTTCAGAGGTTGAACTGAAGAACGACCTCGAACAACTTCTATTGCTTCCTTATCATAAAGAATCCACCCTATTCCAGCTTGCTCTGTAGGAGAAGTCCAGGAAGCATCTACAATATAGCAGCAATAATTGGGTCATTTAACAACATAATCTTACAATTTCAATGGTCCTTTATGCATTTTTTCAGATGCCAATAGTTGGAGCACGAATTGGCTGTTAACACAAAAGATTAGAGTGAAATTCTTCTGCATAAACAGAGGCAACATACAAGTTATAATATGAAAACGCACGTGAGGCAATATGTAGTACAGAAAATAAATGACACAAGAGAATTTTTTACGAGGTTCGTTTCCTACTTCCCGGGACCACGTCCATACATCAAATCCACTAGAACCAGAAATCAAATACTACTTATTCGCAAACGCGTACATCAAGTACAACTTCTTAATTTACCGCTCTGTTCAATAACGTGGATTCTTCAGAATAACCTAATCATGAGCTAAACTCCCCCTGAACCTAGACTTGAGTTTTGTGGAACTTCCATACACCAACACGCACGGTTGGCAACGACATACAGCCACGAGAAACCTTCTCACCAAGTCACTTGATCAGCTCAAGCAACACGAACTTGTACAGTACCAGCAGCACAAACTGCTATAGCAGCAGCAGCAATAACAACAACCAAGGAACAAACGAAGATGCCTTCTTCTCTGAATAAAGTCTTTGTATTTTTCTTCACAAAGGCATAAGAAAACTCCAGCCACGAGCCTCCTTCTATATATACCTATAGAGCAATGATTAATCTTAAGAAACTTTCCTTCCTTGTAGTTATCATTTCCTTCTTTTGCTCTAAAATATATTTTTCAAATCTCTTTCTCTTTTTCCTCCAAGTAAATATATTTTTTCTTTTTCTATCACAATCCACGCTTGTGAATATCAATACACGAGCTCCTCTCCACAAATCACACAACTCAGCTTCTATATCACTTCTTGTAGTAGTCTCTGTAGTACAGTCGACTGGTACAGGAAAAACCAAGTAACTCCTCTCATAATATAATCCTAGAGATTTTATGTTATTCGTATATTAACCTTTTTAACTTTTAATAAAATTGAAAATCACGATGCGAAAAATAATAATAAATGTTTGTACAATATGTAACATAACAAGAGGATAAGTTTCATTTTTGTTAAATTAGGTTTTTATGTATATAGTTATACACACATTCTAATTAAAAAATAAATATAATCTTATTGCATTTACAATGTCATGAAATATTGAAAATATTCGAAAAATACCACTTTTGAGTTGGCACTTTTTAAAAATATCATACTTTTGAAATTGTTTTAAAAATACCACTAATATTATATCATTTACTCAAAATATCATTTATATTTGAGTTAACTATGTTATGTTAGGGTTTAATTTTGAGGACTTAGGGTTTATTATGGCTAAAACCT